ACTTGCTCTTTCCCCCAGCTCTAAAGCAGAGTTTATACTACTTTATTTACCAACCACACAGGCAGGTTGCAAGGATTAAAGCATTTTGTAAAATGCTTTGAAAGTAAAACATACTGTAAAACTCTAAGAAACCCCCATTGTCACGGTGCACTGCAGACATTATTTTTAACAAAATCGAGCCATGCCAACACAGTTAACAGGCATAATATTGGCAGCACATGCAACATACAGGGAAACTGTAATGAGGATATGTTTGAACTCGCTTACTAGTCAGTGAGAAATAGAAACAACCACATTCCACTACTTCATAGTATTTCCCCTGTTCCTTCCTGTGTTCCTCATATTATGGGATTCTGAGGATTTCCTCATCTATCTACATCCTAGTTCCTTCAGGGACTTCTGGGGTACATGTTTCAAGTCCAAAGCAACCCAAAGAATGAGGCACTCAGTATGAAAAAGTAACATAAATTTCTTGCTTTGATTTTTCTCAGTTGCCACCCTTCTTCATTTTTATAAACTCTCCTTTGCCCAACCACCTACTACCCCAACTCCCAACTGAAGGAAACGGAACTACTCCTGCAGAAGTTATTTTTCAGTTACTCCACCTCCTAAAACTACAACTGCTCAAGTCAAAAGGACCCAAACTCATGCTTTAAATAATGTGTTCAGGCAGTTTGCCCATCCTAAAGCCACCATAACCATGGCCTGAGTTAGAATCCTTCTTGGATAGTGAACACAAGCTAAAAACCCATCGGCTTCTACAAAAAAGCTCCAATTTAACACCAAACGAAGTTTTGAGCCTCTAAGAGCACGAAGAAACCCTTGAGTGTGCATACTCATGCAGAACATCTTCCAGGATGGGCAGATGTAGAGCACTGATGCTCTTTCAGGTATCCTTTGCTTCTGGAAAGCATCAATGGTAAGTTTTAACCACTGCTAGAGTTCAGAACTCTGGAATATCCCACTGCTAAAGGGGCCCCTTTAACAGCAGTTTCTCAGTCTATAAAAGGCCCATCCTGTCCTCACCACAGAAAAGGCACATGAGATGCCCTTCAGAAAGAAAGCAAGGAAGAAATCTGTAGTCTTATCCCCTATCATCAGCTACTGGCAGATCCAACTGAGTTTTGGGAAAGTAATAAAGAAGTTTTATTTTTAGATACAAGGCAAAACAATTCTCCTCTACAACAGCTGCAGAACTGCACCACTGCTAGTGGGAAAACCGGTCATGACTGTAGAAGTAAAAAAAAAAAACCACATGATGACATGCCATCCTATCTGCTACCTTCAAACAGGACTACATGTCACCAAATCACATTTAATCAGGAAAATACCAGTCTTTATGAACAAGCCACCAAATTTTCATAACTACTAACAGTCATTCAGAAGGTAAAAGAAAAGAGAGGGACAGAGGGAAGTGAAAGTTTCTAGATTTCAATTTCACCTAAGCCAGTGGAGAAAACCATCCAGACCTATCTGCTCTGTGCTATTCTTACTGCATACCCTCAGCACTCACCAATGTGCTCCTTCTCTAAGCAGATACCTTAAAAACTTATTATGAGATGTTTGTACATAAAGATAAAGCAGAAGACAGTAGCAACACAAATTTGCAAGAAGAGAAATCAAACCTTGGAGCCCCAAGCTGACAGTACTGCTAGGTAAGGATAAACTCACACAAGCTGGGTTTGTACTACAGCACTGCTGGACAAGATGGGGTTTTCAAAAAATTATTTGGAAGTATAGTTTTGCCAATTTACAATGTGATTCTACCCTGTGTCAGCAATGACCTCTAAACACTTTACACACTCTTACAATGCAAAAGATAAATTTTAGTGCATAATCCCAGTTACACTTTTCTGCAGACTTTTCTGAGTACCTCTAACAGTGAAATACTGACTTACCACTTCGACAAACTCACTGATTTTCTACCTCTTATCATATTATTGTACACAACATATTTCTCATTACTGAAGTACTCAGCAACAAGCTTCATTCCATTTATTTCCAGTTTCAGCAGTGTTGCATCCTTAAGGCAGTATTGTGTAAACTTTTGTTCCTACCCCCTTATAAAATTATTTCCATCTCATTTCTAAGAGGGTTCTAATAGGTTATCTAATAGGGTTTCTAATAAGGTTATCTTGGGACCATCATTACACAAATCTGTCCAACTGGAGCACAAAGTCCCAAACACAAGCTCCTGAAGAAAAGACTAAGGACAACAGTTCCCTTCCTCAAAGATGCCAGAAGTGGAAAACCATCATTAATACACAGACACAATAGCTCAGTTCCTTGGAGAAGAAATACACCAAAATCCAGTAAGGTCACAATAATTATGGCCCACTGGCTCTTCAAACATCTCCAATTTGTCAAGATTTGTCAATCAGTCAAGGTCTGCTGCATAATTACCTTGATGTGATACAAAGCATTATTCTAATAGCAATATATTTTAAAGACCATTGATGGAGTTTATTTTCCACATGGTCTTTCAAAGAAAACATTTAAAATCTTGTAAGGTTTCTAATTTTCAAGTCCCAGCTTATAACTCCTGCTGACATTTTACATTCTGCTTTCCATACATGTGACACTGTAACTGTATTTTGGAGAGCTAGAAACAGTAATTCTGGATAAGAAAATAACAGTAAAAGGTGTGCTGTCATGGTCAAACCTTCCATCAGAATTTTCTAAGTGTTTGTAACTCTTGGTGTAAAAAGCTGTGTGTGCAGTGTATGATTTCAAACTGCTGCAAGCACTGTCATAGAAACTCTTACTAGCACACCCTATTAACTTACAGAAACAAACTTCTGAATGCAAATTCAATGCATGCAGTAGGTGCACAGCACACAGGCACTGCAGTTTCACACTACCAAACTGCCTCCAAAAACCTGGCCTATGATGCTGTCATTGAAAATACAATCTCAAAAGCACAGCCACCTATTCTCCTTTCACTATGAATGTACCTGCACTCTGCTGAAGATCTCAGCAGCTTCACATGGCCAGATTTGCAGAGGTGCTTGGCCTTTGTGCCTGAGAGATGTCTGCAAGAGCCCAGCATGCACCAATTCTCAAGTGTTTTGAAAGAGATGGTTTATGCAAAGCATTTTTAAAGCTGGTTGCTTTTACAAAGTATAAAAAACAAACCAAAGCAATGTAAAAGAAAAATAATCAGTTCCATTTAAAAAAATCTTTTTCAATATTAAGCCTGTCTTATCCCACAAGAACTCAGTTTCCAATTTCTATGTATCCAATCACATATACTTGCTTATTTTAAGTCATGCTTATTCTTTTGAAGTCATAAATATTTCTTTAAGTGTAGGACAGAAAAAAAAGTGCTTCATAAAAATCCAAGTTCTTAGAACCTACACTGTTTTACTTAGATCTATCAAGAACTCCAAAGGAACAATTTATAGTCCAATTTTACTTAAGGACTAGCAATGCTGCTTCTAAGAGTAACACATTTCAGGATGCTGTGGCAGTCAGAAAACATCAGCTAGCTGAAAAAGGGTCCCATTGCATTCCACACAAGTATTTTCCCTCATAATCAGGTTTATAATGCATTATTAACAAAAAATGTAGGTATAAATGGCACTAGACTAAACTGGATCAATCATTGATACAATATGGCAATAAATAAAATAAGGCTTTTCCAACCTATCAATTTACAGGCTTCAAATCAAGCACCACAATTCCAAGATCTGAATTTTACTGCTATTTTTTAAATTCACAACATGTCATTCAAGTTACTCATATAGGGAATAATCTTTTACAGACAAAAAAAGAGGAATATTTATACCAGTTAGTACTTGGATACACACAATGTTTGACAGACTTCATCAAACTACATGGCATCACATACCACAGATAGCATACTACACAAAAACACAGTGTTTAGTAACACAGCACACAATTCCTGATCTACTTTATGTGACAGGTGCATTGCTCTGAGGTTGGTCAGGAGTTCCAAGATATGTATTTTACTAAGACCACTTGTATTTTACTAAGACCACCTACAAAAATCACCACCAGTTTCATTCAGCGTTAGTAGCAAAATTCAATTAGCTGTTCTTTGCACAGAGTCCTGGAAACAGTGAGCACTAAGAATACATACAATACCCTTGTATGTATTATTATGAGGACAGGAAGCAATGTGTAGGTTCACATAAGTATTTGCAGTTAAAAAGCAAAGTGGATACAAGCAACAAGCCTGACTCAAAATAATAGGAAATATATAACATTAAATCTCTAAATCTGGGATATTTAAGGAGGGACAGAACAATTCTGAGCAAATAAATGCTTCTCATCCTGCTTTTCACACATCCACTGTGTTCAGGACTAGAATCCTTGTCCAGAGATGCTCAGCACTAAGCATGAGACTAGCTACTACAAAAGCTGCAGCCCTAGACACAACAGGGTGAGGTAAGGACATAGGAAGTCTGCCTTTTGTATCAGAATGCCAGTGACTAGAAAGATGATCATAAGCTTCAAATCTGTGAGTTTTTAAGTCAGAGTTTGAAGGTATCTAAAGCCAAAGTAGGTAGTTTTCTTGTGTTGTATCTGCTGCTTCTCTGTTCATGAGTGCTCTGTGGTACTGGGGGCATGCAGGGACAGGAGGGAACCAAGCAGCACTTAAAGGTTACAAACTACTGACAAAACCACCTGAAAATTCAAAATGTCTGTTGTGCTAATGAAATAACAACATTTCATTAGATAATGTTCCATTGTCACATTTTGGCAGTTTGCAGCTTCATCTACACTCACATTGGAACAAAGCTACCAGGCAGAATTATTTTCAATTACTGCTGAAAAGACTTTCTGGTCACCCAAAATCAGACACTAAGTAGTGGAATGCTACTATGCTACTACTACTCAACACCAGACCATTCTCATTGTTACATGTCATGCCTTTTCCACAATTCACAATTAAATGGCACGCAATCTTACTTGGATTCCTTCCTCCCTGCAAGATACACACTTCCAAAATAAAACCCCTCAATCCTCTGACTTACCTGGTGGTAACTGAAAATTCTGAATGTTAGTTGGATTCTGAGGTGGCTGAGGCAAACGAGGTGCTAAAACTGTAGGAGTCAAAGTTGCTCTGATTCCACTCGTAGTTGGTGTTGGAGTCCTTGGCAGACTTTGTGCCACTGTATTGGCAGTGCCTTTAGCCATTCCTGTGGGGGTGCCAGGAGCTGCAGGAGGTATCCCACCAGGATTGGGAGCAACATTGGAGAGCCCAGCTTGCATAGTTTGCCCAATAATCATGTTACCCCCTGTAGTACTGGGCTGGCCAGCAGTAGCCAGCGTCTGCTGTTGGGATACTGCCTGGACTATAGTTTTAGGAGACTCAGATTTGATGACCTGTGTGGCAGGAGCTGCTGGCACACTGGAACCAGACTGGCTGTTCACAAGTGACGTCTGGAGGGAAACTCCAGATCCCACAGTGGCTGTGGCAACAGCAGGAAAACTCCCCACACTGATGGTTGAATTGATCACAGTATTGCTCCCGTTCTGAGTGGCTGCAGCAGCTGCAGCCACCGTGGGTCCTGCTGTGTGGATGGGGGGCCTCACCAGCGTTACCGTGGGCGCCCCGGTGCCAACGCTCGGCGGTGGCTGCGAGGAGATCACTGTGGGCGAGGAGGAGGACGCAGAGGACACAGCAGTATTAAGGAAAGAAGTCTGGATGACAGTGTTAGAAGCTGAGGGCAAAACAGCATTAACAGCGTTTCCTTTCCCCACGGATCCAGGTCCATTGTTAACGAGAGGGGCAACAGCAGGTGCAGGAGCGGGGTTGGCAGTCACAGGAGTCCCAGAGAAAGCAGCACTTCCTGTGTGGTGAGAGTTCATCACCACGTTACTCCCATTCAAAGTCTGCACCGTCGTGGTCCCAATCTTGCCATTCCTGGTGGACAAGGCAGTTGCCATGGTGCTGATAACCACCGATTTGCCCTGACTGAGGGTCCCTGGAGCAGCAGTGACTTCAGATCCTCCTGCTGCTGCAGTGGTGGTGCTGGTGCTCGTTGTGGTGGCTCCATCCAGAGCTGAAGTCTGGGACCTGGTGTTATGATTAATAACACCCCCCTGCACTCCTCCTGCCCCTGCAAAACAACAACGAGGTTAAACAGAGCGAATGAGCAAGAAGAGAAGCCCAGCAAAGACAGAATGTTCTCCCTTATCACCAGGTCTTCTCCATCTCCCAAGCTGCCTGCCTGGAGCCAGGAAAACAGGACAGAGTACAAACTGAACATGGCTTAGAATACGTTATCTTAAAGCCTCCAATATCCCACCAAAGACTGGCAGATTCAGTATTAATTGTAACACCCCTGCTTTTGACACTACAGTACAAAGCAGGGAAAACAGATTTATTATGAACCAAGGGAAGCAAGAAGATCATCTAAGACCTCCTCCCCATTCTGGAGCCTGATATCCCGTTTAGAAACAGGACTGCAACTGCAGGGGGGGGAAAAATGGCCAAGGAAGACACATTATTAAGACATATTCCCTATACCCAGCACACATTACTCTCTAATCCTGTCATCTGCAAAGTAAGTCAGTCAGATCAGGAGGCTCAACAACAGCAAAATATGAAAAGTGAAAGGAAAGAAAAACATTGGCCTGGCAAGATAAGAAGTACTGCAAGGCCTGGAGCAGGTTTCTAGAAGACCCCTCTTCCTTATGACAGAATTTGTTCCGACGGATCTGAAGTTCCCACAGCCCGAGATAGTTAAAAATAAATAAATAAAAAGCAAAGCTGGTTTTCAGAAGGGACAAGATGATGTAGCTTCTTGTCCTGAATAATCCTCATGCCCCTTGATAAGGCCTGGTGTTAGCACAAGTACAATCACACACAGTCCAGGTCCTGGCCCTAAGGAGACAGAAATGGGAAAAGAACAGTGACAGGCAGACACTGAGATGCACATTATAAGGGTCAAGGAGATCCTCCTAGAAGAGCTTCATCAATCATAACAGACGGTCTGTAGTATCTTCTTACACTTCAGCAAGACAAAATCAAAAATAAAAAAGGGGGGAGGGGAGGAATTGCAGAGAGATTCTGGGGAGACATTTCTTTCAATCCCCCTGAAAAACAGCTTCCCTCCATTCCCACGTAGCGAGCCCTCAGTCCCAGCCTTCACACTGCCCCCCTACAAGCCTCACAAGACGAAGGGGGGAATATTCCCAGGCAGCTCCGGGGGTGGGCGGGTGGGAGAAGGCGCTGTGCAAGGTGGGGTGTTGTGGCCTGAATTCCCCCCCTTGCCGGGACCCGGCGTTGTGACTACCCCCCCTTGAGGGCAGAGGAGGAATGAGAGGTCCCCATGCCCCCTCCAAGCCCCTGGAACAAGGGAGGGGGTGCGGGGGGAATATCAAGGCAGGCAGATATGGGGGGGAAGCATTTTGAGGGACTTCCTCCCCTTGAAATCCCCCCTCGCTTCCTCCTCTACAGGAAATAGGTGTCATGATTAATAACACCCCCTTCCACTTCAGCAACAGCGAAGGGGGAGGGGAAGGAGCATTTACACAGACAGCTAAGGCGGCATTATCAAGAGGGAATCCCCCCCATAACCTCCACCCCTGGAAAGGGAAGGGGAGCAATCACAGGCGGCATGGGAGGCACAGCCATGACCAAGGGGGTGGGCTCTGCCTCCTTCAGTCCCCGAGATTAACAGAGCCCTTTTACACTCCAGCAACAAGGGCAGGAAAAGCAGAGGGGACCGGCAGAGTCACGGACGGGCACTGCCGGCTCCTTCTGCGGGGCGGCTGCCCCCACACATGATCCAACACCCTCGAGTAAGCACGGGCGAGGAGGGAAAATAAAGGGGAGGGAGCAGAGGCGCGGATACACACCGAGGGGGCATGATGAGGGGAGGCTCTCCCCCGTATGATCGATACCACCCTTTGCACTCCCGCTCCTGCCACAACGAGAAGGAGGAGAGAGGGAAAAGGGGGGAAAGCAGTGAGGGAAGGAGGCAGCGGGAGCTGGGGAGTGGGGGGAGGGGAGGGCCCCTCTCCCTCAGAGCCCCCCACCCCTGCCCACGTTACCTGCTTTTGTGATCTCTGGGGCACTCAGTCCCATCTTGCTGCCGCTGCTGCTCTCTGTTTGGGCATTAGCATTGCCTCCTACTACTACTCCTCCAGGGCTGGGGCTAGGGCTGCTGCTGCTACTGCTGCTGCTCACAACATGGTTCCCCAGCAGCCCCCCAGCGGCCCTCAGGGGCTCCTGCGCCTTGTGGTGCTGGTGGTGGTGGCCGGAGGCCGCCAGCTGGGACTCCAGGGAGCCCACCAGGTCGCTCACCACCTTCTCATCCACCTCCGTGTTCAGGAAAACCTCATCCAGCAGATCCGAGCCCGCCGCCATCTTTTTTTCGGAGGGTTCCTGTGAGCGGCTCCCTCCTCCCCCCCCTCCCCTCTCACGGCTCCCTCCTC